AGAGATAATAGATATTGCTGGAACAGTCCAACAGAAATAGATATGGAGACCTAGATTTGAGACTACAAATCCCAATAGTCGGGCTTTATGGGACAGTCACGCCTCCTCTGTCTCCTGCTGCCTAAAATGTGGTCTTCACTAGTTACCCCATCCACAAAGTCATAAACCCCGCCTTTTCTACTATTTTATCTTCTTACAATCTAACCTTAAATTAAGACCAAAAAGAAAATTTTTGTTTTCGTGATTTTTTACGATATATTGACTTTGTGGCTGTGGTAACTAGTTGAAACCCTAAAACTGACGTGGTTAGTTTAAATGCCTTTGACTGATCTCCCTCTACCCAATGAAATCGCTCTTTGAAATTAGTTTTTTGGGCAACGGGATGGCTTTTTGCCAGCTCAGAGAAAGTGCCACGACTCCACACAGCAGCTATTCTGAAAGAGTGAACATTGGTGGTTGGGGTAAGAGATTCTTTATAAAACAATTTGTGAATCATAAAAAAAGAATAGGAAATGGTCTTAACTGAGCGTAGTGTAAGGAACAGCTGTATCGTTGTTATTCAGCCACGTACGAATAGACAAATGCAAGTCGGAAAATTAATAGATTTGTTTTCCAGATTAAGAAAAAAATGTATTCTTGAAACTTTGACTTCGGAACTATCGTTACTTTTCATGATACAATGTTGCTTGATCTTTTCGGTTTGAAAGAATAAACAGTATCAATTACATTTACATTTTAGTCATTTAGCAGACGCTCTTATCCAGAGCGACTTACAGTTAGCGCATACATTATTTTATCGAACCCACAACGCTGGCGTTGCAAACCAATTAATGTTTGGGGTAGCCTAAGATTCCCTTTTATTCCCTTTTGGTGCCCTATTCTAATGAACTGCATCTGTAGATAAAGACAAATGTATATATTTTTTAAATATTATATAGTCAAACCAAGTGACTTTCAAATTTCCTAAGTTTGGCAGTGGGCTGAACGGATGGTATCGGGATAGCCTTATCTCCTCGCTCATATTCTTGAGTTAATTAAAGGGCTCAACGTCGAACAAATCTTGATGCTGCGGTGAATGAGTAATCAATCAACGGGCGCTAATGATGTTTGTAGGCCGTCTCTGGAGGACACGTAGCTAAGGATACTGGAGTTAAGTTTTCTTAGCTAGAGGAAACGAAAACAAATTGCCCAGTTAAATGTATTTCGTGTGGAGGAGACGCTAGATGTTTTAAAATTAAAACACTACAGAATGAGAATAAGGACCAGTATATAAAGTAGGCGGTTGTAGGCCTGCCTGTTGTGAAACGTTAAACACCGCATCAACCTATTCCCAATATTCTCTACAATGCTTTTTCATTGTTTAATTGTAATGGGTAGCGTATTTGAGGTACTGTAAATTGTAAAGTTGTTGTATGATGCCAATAAACTTTGTGAAACTGGCAAGTGGTTATGTAGGCTATAGGTAGAAACTTTAAGGCAACTGTACTCTTCTTGTTACATAAGAAGAGGGGTACATCACAAGGGGTTAATTGTTTGTAAAGACACTAGCCCCTTCTACACTCTCTAGAATTCAGCATTATCTATACTACCAGTCAAACGTTTTAGAACACCTACTCATTCAAGGGTTTTTCTTTATTTTTACTATTTTCTAAATTGTAGAATAATATTGAAGACATCAAAACTATTAAATAACACATACGGTATCATGTAGTAACCAAAAAAGTGTTAAACAAATCAAAATATATTTTATATTTGAGATTCTTCAAATAGCCACCCATTGCCTTGATGACAGCTTTGCACACACTTGGCATTCTCTCAACCAGCTTCTTGAGGTAGTCACCTGGAATGCGTTTCAATTAACAGGTGTGCCTTCTTAAAAGTTAATTTGTGGCATTTCTTTCCTTCTTAATGCGTTTTGAGACAATCAGTTGTGTTGTGACAAGGTAAGGGGGTTATACATTATATATTTGGTAAAAGACCAAGTCCATATTATGGCAACAACAGCTCAAATAAGCAAAGAGAAACGACAGTCCATCATTACTATAAGACATGAAGGTCAGTCAATATGGAACATTTCAAGAACTTTGAACGTTTCTTCAAGTACAGTCGCAAAAACCATCAAGCGCTATGATGAAACTGGCTCTCATGAGAACCGCCACAGGAATGGAAGACCCAGAGTTACCTCTGCTGCAGAGGATAAGTTCATTAGAGTAACCAGCCTCATAAATTGCAGCCCAAATAAATGATTCACAGAGTTCAAGTAACAGACACATCTCAACATCAACTGTTCAGAGGAGACTATGTGAATCAGGCCTTCATGGTCGAATTGCTGCAAAGAAACCACTACTAAAGGACACCAATAATAAGAAGAGACCTGCTTGGACCAAGAAACATGAGCAATGGACATTAGTCTGTTGGAAATGTGTCCTTTGGTCTGGAGTCCAAATTGGAGATTTTTGGTTCCAACCACCGTGTCTTTGTGAGACGCAGTGTGGGTGAACGGATGATCTCTGCAAGTGTAGTTCCCACCGTAAAGCATGGAGGAGGAGGTGTGATGGTGTGGGGGTGCTTTGCTGGTGACACTGTCTGTGATTTATTTAGAATTCAAGGCACACTTAACTAGCATGGCTACCACAGCATTCTGCAGCGATATGCCATCCCATCTGGTCTGGGCTTAGTGGGACTATCATTTGTTTTTCAACAGGACAATGACCCAACACACCTCCAGGCTGTGTAAGGGCTATTTTACCAAGAAGGAGAGTGATGGAGTGCTGCATCAGATGACCTGGGGCCTCCACAATCCCCCGACTTCAAACAAATTGAGATGGTTTGGGTTGAGTTGGACCGCAGAGTGAAGGAAAAGCAGCCAACAAGTGCTCAGCATATGTGGGAACTCCTTCAAGACTGTTGGAAAAGCATTCCAGTTGAAGCTGGTTGAGAGAATGCCAAGAGTGGGCAAAGCTGTCATCAAGGCAAAGGGTGGCTGTTTGAAGAATCTCAAATATTTTTGACTACATGATTCCATATGTGTTATTTCATAGTTTTGATGTCTTCACTATTATCTTACAATGTAGAAAATAGTAAAAGAAAGAAAAACCCTTGAATGAGTAGGTGTTCTAGAACTTTTGACCGGTAGTGTACAGTTAGGGTAAATGTCGGTAGTGTATTTTGATACATCGGACGTTTTTACATTTAGAGTGATTAACTACAGATTGTTCTACACCGAACAGTACCTAACCTGTAACTCCCAGTAATGGATACTAAAAATCTTTGGTTAAAGTGCATTATCTGGTGTAACAATCTGTAGCTAGAGAATGATGTGAAGGCTTTGGATACTTTTATTTACTCCATTTATTTGTTGACATTTTATCTCAATATGGGCTACATAATAATCATACCCATGGATTTTTGTTTTGTTTTAAAGCATCATTGGAATGAATAGTTGTTGCCTATTGCAAAACTGATAGATTGATCAGTGACCCTATTTATCTATAGGCTAATGTGGATGTAAAACAACAGTTTGCTCCTTTAGGAGTTTATTTCAGTTTGATCTAATGACTCCGAATCACCTTGTCAAGTAATTTAAATCCAACACTAAAGCATTTTATCCCAAAGTATCAGTTTCAGAATGGATACCCAAATGCTTGTGTTCCATAAGATTGCTACTATTGCTTTCTGATCTATTATGAATATTTAATTTTGACTATTGAAGAGAGGGAGAAAGCATGGAATGGGGTGTGTTGTCACTCCTTTAGAGTCAGCATTTTTTCTTCATCTGAGGCCTTGTTTATGTCCCAAATGGCACCCTATTCCCTATGTAGTGCACTGCTTTTGAAGTGAGTGCCCTGGTAAACAATAGAGCACTACATAAGGAATATGGTACCATTTGGTACTCAGACCTTATCTACTGTATAGAGTCAGCATTGCCTCTGAGGAGTATGAGTAGCTGAAAGCCCACTCTCGAAGGAGTCGTTCTCCAGAATGGTTCCTGGTCGCAGTAACTCATAGGGAATTTTCATTGTGTGCAGTGCAACTGTGTACAGGTGTGTCCTCTGGAAACTGGAGACAGTGCCATTTTTGTATGTGAACGTAAATGTGATGGGGGGGGTATGTGTCTCTCGAGGGTGTTGCGTAACATGAGTTCTCTTGTGAGCGGAAAGTTGCAGGCTGAACTCTCGGTCCTCTGTGAGAAGAGCTATTCTTTGTACAGGGGAGAAATTACGGCCTGTGAAGCTGTTTTTCTTTACCCTTACTGGAAGTTCAGGAGCTGGTAGTATGCCCATGGAGAGATTGTTGTTTTTACCCAGCAAAATTTGTTCCACCTTTACCATGTAGTGAATTTGGTCCACCTTTCCTCAAAGGCCGCTAAAACAAGCAAGAAAGCCATAAACTATAAAATCATGCATCTCTACCCCTGCTTGTGATTTTTCCTATTTGACTGATCATTGAGATATATATATATATATATATATATATATATATATATATATATATATATATATATTAGATCAGTGAGCCAGCCAACATCTTTTTCTAAATAAAGGCTTTTAAACATTACTACACATGGCCGAACACATTTTTGGAAGTTTTGCTTCCATCAACTTATTTTTGCTTGTGTAACTTCTCTAAATATTCTGAAACCTGAAATGTTTTCTTAATTTAAATCTCAAAGACAAATTCTAATGGCATAAAATCAACATTCTGTATTCAACATCAGCATTCATGATAAACCAGAAATATAGGAATGATATTTTAGTGGTTACCAAAGTTAGCTGGCTACCTCATTGATCCTTTTTTTGTGAAATGTCACCCTGGTGATTGATAAATATATTGAGAGGGGGACAAAACTAAATCGTGAAGTGGCCGGCATTGAACCCATTTGCTAAACATAATGTTGTGACTTTTGATGATTATGGATCGCATCCTTTGACACCTAGCTAATCGTGACCTCTGCTTTTTTTGTGCTAGGCTTTGCGGAGGGACAAGATTGAAATAAAGACATGGACGTTTACGACCCCCAAACCCTCGGCTTCATGGTCTTTGGTGTATTCATGGTGATCTCCGCCATCGGCATTGCTCTGGTCTCCACACTCTCCATGAAGGAGACGTCGTACGAGGAGGCCCTGGCCAAGCACCGCCGCGAGCTGGGCAAGTCTGCCCAGATCCAACTCTCTCTGAAGAATAAGAAGAAGCAGAAAGCGTTGGAGAATAAGAGCAAAGCCAAGAAGAAAGAAGAGCGGCCTAACGGGAATCTCCCAGAACCGGTCGCAGAGTCCACTAGCGAGCCCGAACCCGAACCTGAGCCTCTCGCCGCCCCTGAGCCTGAACCCGAGCCCATCGTTGCTGCCCCGGAGCCTGTCATAGTCGCCTGTGCTGCCCCTGCCCCAGTGGCCGTGGAGGCCGCCGCCCCCTCCCCGAAGAAGAAGAAGAAAGTGGCCAAGGTGGCGCCGGCCCCTGCCAAGCCTGCCGTCGTCCCGGAGACCATCGCCAAGGAAGTGCCTGTCATGGTCGTGCCACCTGTGGCGGTTGAGGTTGCCCCGGTGACTGCCGCGCCCGCTCCTGTTTCCAGTGACACTCCCGCCACACCCGTTGCCAAGGCAGAGGAGCTCAAGGCTGAAGCACCTGCTAAGAAGAAAAAATCCAAGGCAAAGGCTGAGCCAGGTTGATGAAATTGTTACTGTTTTATTTATATGATAACTCGTAATGTAAAACTATTGCAATTCATGTACTCTATAAACCAGGATTGGGGTCAATTTGAATGACATTTGTAATTTTTTAATTTGAGTCATTTAGCAAACACTCTTATCCAGAGGAACTTACAAGAGCCATTAGGGTTAAGTGTCTTGCTTCAGGGCACATCGACAGATTTTTCACCTAGTTGGCTTGGATTTGATTTGAACCAGCGACCTTTCAGTTACTAGCCCAACGCTCTTTACCACTAGGCTACTTGCTGAATTCAGGTAAGTCAATTCAGGAAGTTAATTGAATATAAAATTGAGGAATGGAAAAACGTTTAACATAAATAGTTTCTCCTTTTATGTTGATCAAGAAGTCATTGAATGGCCTTTTTTCAATTATTGAATTAGAAATTCAGACATTTCTATTCGAAATTGACCCCAACCCTGCTATCAACAGCTGCATTCCAATAGGAAGTTGTTAGCTCAGTCTCTCTCTAGTGAAGCATTGGTATTATGATGAAAGGTCAATTGAAGCAATGGGTTCTGGTTGTGGATTAGACCCGACGTCATCTACGCTGAACAAAAAATATAAACGCAACATGTAAAGTGTTGGTCCCATGAGCTGAAATAAAATATCCCAGAAATGTTCCAAATGCACAAAAAGCTTATTTCTTTCAAATTTTGTGCACAAATTTGTTTACATCCCTGATAGTGAGCATTTTATCCTTTGTCAAGATAATCCATATCAAGAAACTGATTAAACAGCCATATCATTACACAGGTGCACCTTGTATTGTGGACAATAAAAGGCACTCTAAAATGTGCAGTTTTGTCACACAACACAATGCCACGGATGTCTCAAGTTTTGAGGGAGTGCGCCCCTGCCCAGTCATGTGAAATCCAAAGATTAGGGCCTAATGAATTTATTTCAATTGACTGATTTCCTTATGAACTGTTACTCAGCAAAATTGTAGAAATTGTTGCACGTTGCGTTTTTATATTTTTGTTCAGTATAGAATTAAAGATCACATGGCCCCTCATTCTCCTAAGACTTCCCCCTTTCTAACATCCCCAACTTATTTTTTGTTTACTACTAGGGTACAGTAAGTCATACAAGTAATTTATCTAAGATAACCTGGTCATTCATCCAAGTAATGAAATAGTAAACCATCCAAGTTATAGAAAAGTAAGTTTATTATTCAACTTGTAAACTAAACTTAGCAAAAAAAGAAACGTCCTCGCACTGTCAACTGCGTTTATTTTCATTAAACTTAACATGTGTAAATATTTGTATGAACATAACAAGATTCAACAACTGAGACAAACTCAACAAGTTCCACAGACGTGACTAACATAAATGGAATAATGTGTCACTGAACAAAGGGGGTGTCAAAATCAAAAGTAACAGTCAATATCTGGTGTGGCCACCAGCTGTATTAAGCAGTGCATCTCCTCCTCATGGACTGCACCAGATTTGCCAGTTCTTGCTGTGAGATGTTACCTCACTCTTCCACCAAGGCACCTGCAAGTTCCCGGACATTTCTGTGGGGAATGGCCCTAGCCTTCACCCGCCGATCCAACAGGTCCCAGACGTGCTCAATGGGATTGAGATCCGGGCTCTTCGCTGGCCATGGCAGAACACTGATATTCCTGTCTTCCAGGAAATCACTCACAGAACGAGCAGTATGGCTGGTGGCATTGTCATGCTGGAGGGTCATGTCAGGATGAGCCTGCAGGAAGGGTACCACATGAGGGAGAAGGATGTCTTCCCTGTAACGCACAGCGTTGAGATTGCCTGCAATGACAACAAGTTCAGTCCGATGATGCTGTGACACACCGCCCCAGACCATGACGGACCCTCCACCTCCAAATCGATCCCGCTCCAGAGTACAGGCCTCGGTGTAACGCTCATTCCTTCAACGATAAACGGGAATCCGTCCATCACCCCTGGTGAGACAAAATCGCGACTCGTCAGTGAAGAGCACTTTTTGCCAGTCCTGTCTGGTCTAGCGACGGTGGGTTTGTGCCCATAGGCAACGTTGTTGCCGGTGATGTTTGGTGAGGACCTGCCGTACAACAGGCCTACAAGCCCTCAGTCCAGCCTCTTTCAGCCTATTGCGGGCAGTTGTTGTTGCCATCCTGTACCTGTCTCGCAGGTGTGAAATTCAGATGTACCGATCCTGTACAGGTGTTGTTACACATGTTCTGCCACTGTGAGGACGATCAGCTGTCCGTCCTGTCTCCCTGTAGCGCTGTCTTAGGTGTCTCACAGTACGGACATTGCAATTTATTGCCCTGGCCACATCTGCAGTCCTCATGCCTCCTTGCAGCATGCCTAAGGCACGTTCACGCAGATGAGCAGGGCATCTTTCTTTTGGTGTTTTTCAGAGTCAGTAGAAAGGCCTCTTTTTAGTGTCCTAAGTTTTCATAACTGTGACCTTAATTGCCTACCGTCTGTAAGCTGTTACAGTCTTAACGACCATTCCACAGGTGCATGTTCATTAATTGTTTATGGTTCATTGAAGAAGCATGGGAAACAGTGTTTAAACCCTTTACAATGAAGATCTGTGAAGTTATTTGGATTTTTACGAATTATCTTTGAAAGACAGGGTCCTGAAAAAGGGACGTTTCCTTTTTTGCTGAGTTTAGTAAGTAATCCAAATGATAGACAAGTAGTACATCATAAAAAATATAAATGAGTCATCCATCCTGTAACCCCTGACATAGGTAACTCCCTGGCACACTTATCATCCTCACTCACACTCTCTGCTTATAGTGGTTGCTGCCGTTGACTCTGCGGATGCTCCCCTCCTCCTGCCATACAAGACTCTCCTGTCCACCGTGAGCAGCATGACGTTCAGCGAGGGAGAGACCCAGAGGCTCATCGAAGTGCTCAGTGACAAGGCTGGCCTCGACTCCTGGCAACTGGTACAGTATTACCCTCCAGACTGGCTGACTGCAAGCATTACAGACAGTGGCTTGTGGCCGAGCCACCTCCGCATTCCCTTTAGTAGAAATGCAGGCACATACATACATACATACATACATACATACATACATACATACATACATACATACATACATACATACATACATACATACATACATACATACATAGAAAGGAGGCGTTTTCTGAGACAAGATTGAGAAACCTTGGTTACGGTTAAAATGTACCAGACATGATTGTGCATGATGGAATATCTTTTGTCTGAGTCAAACAGTCATTATGTGTAGTCATAACGTACATACACATACTTCTAAATTGCAGAAGCCTTTGAATGAATTAAGCATAGCAACATTTCAAGTAATAAACAATACTGTAGCTTTTTTTCCCTTTCACACTTATTTTAATATTGTAATTTTTACACCCCTAAATATGTATCATCCTAGTAGTTTTGGAAGCCCCTTTGTTCCGATATTTCCCAACTGAGAGGTTATATTGATTGTATCCCAAATGGCACCCTATTCCCTATATAGTGCACTACTTTTGACCAGAGCCCTATTGACCCTGGTCAAAAGTAGTGCACTCTATAGGAAATAGGGTGCCATTTGGGATGCAGTCATTCTCTGGCTTATCTTAACATTTGTATTTATTATGGATCACCATTAGCTGCTGCCAAGGCAAAATTAAGGCAGTTATACCATTTTTAAAACATTACAATACAGTCACAGGTTTCACAACACACTATGTGCCCTCAGGCCCCTACTCCACCACTACCACATATCTACAATACAAAATCCATGTGTACGTGTGTGTGTGTATAGTGCGTATGTTATCGTGTGTGTATGCATGTGTCTGTGCCTATGTGTGTGTTGCTTCACAGTCCCCGCTGTTCAATAACGTGTATTTTTATCTGTTTTTTTAAATCTAATTTTACTGCTTGCATCAGTTATTTGATGTGGAATAGAGTTACATGTAGTCATGGCTCTATGTAGTACTGTGCACCTCCCATAGTCTTTTCTGGACTTGGGGACTGAAGAGACCTCTGGTGGCATGTCTTGTGGGGTATGCATGGGTGTCCGAGCTGTGCGCCAGTAGTTCAGACAGCTCGGTTCATTCAACATGTCAATACTTCTCATAAATACAAGTAGTGATGAAGTCAATCTCTCCTCCACTTTAAGCCAGGAGAGATTGACATGCATATTATTAATGTTAGCTCTCTGTGTAGATCCAAGGGCCAGCCGTGCTGCCCTGTTCTGCGCCAATTGCAATTTTCCAAAGTCCCTTTTTGTGGCACCTGACCACACGACTGAACAGTAGTCCAGGTGCGACAAAACTAGGGCCTGTAGGACCTGCCTTGTTGATAATGTTGTTAAGAAGGTAGAGCAGCGCTTTATTATGGACAGACTTCTCCCCGTCTTAGCTACTGTTGTATCAATATGTTTTGACCATGACAGTTTACAATCCAGGGTTACTCCAAGCAGTTTAGTCACCTCAACTTGCTCAATTTCCACATTATTTATTACAAGATTTAGTTGAGGTTTAGTGAATGATTTGTCCCAAATACAATGCTTTTAGTTTTATAAATATTTAGAACTAACTTATTCCTTTCCACCCACTCTGAAACTAACTGCAGCTCTTTAAGTGTTGCAGTCAATTTAGTCGCTGTAGTAGCTGACGTGTATATTGTTTAGTCATCCACATACATAGACACATTCACTTTAAAGCCAGTGGCATGTCGTTAGTAAAGATAGAAAAAAAAGTAAGGGGCCTAGACAGCTGTCCTGGGGAATTCCTGATTCTACCTGGATTGTTGGAGAGGCTTCCATTTAAAGAACACCCCCTATGTTCTGTTTGACAGTTAACTCTTTATCTACAATATAGCAGGGGGTGTAAAGCCATAACACATACGTTTTCCAGCAGCAGACTATGATCGATAATGTCAAAAGCCGCACTGAAGTCTAACAGAACAGCCCCCACGATATTTTTATCATACACAAATGACTGATGATTGGCTGAGAGAAATTTAAATGCTGTGCTTGTTGAATGTCCTTCCCTATAAGTGTGCTGAAAGTCTGTTGTCAATTTGTTTACTGTAAAATAGCATTGCATCTTGTCTAACACTATTTTTTCCAAAAGTTTACTAAGGGTTGGTAACAGGCTGATTACTCCTGAGTGGCGCAGTGGTCTAAGGCACTGCATCGCAGTGCTAACTGTGCCACTAGAGATCCTGGTTCATTAATGTAGTTGGCAATATCAGTCGGTTTTGTGATGAATGAGCCATCTGATTCAATGAATGATGGAGCTGAGGTTGCCTTTTTTCCCAACATTTCATTTAACATCAACTGTAGCCGTTCAGTGGTGGTCAACTTGTGTCATATCTGATGGTTAGGCCTCTCAGAAGGGGGATCCCATGGCTGCCCTGAAGAAACAGCTAGAGGAGAAGGAGAAGCAGCTGTCTACCGAGCAGGAGGATGCCACTGCTGCCAAGAATCGACTGAGGGAGCTCACCAAGGTAAAAGACCATGGGTCCATCCCAATAGTATCTTATTTTTCCTTAAGTGTACACACATCTAAAAGCATTGGATTGGTGGAGGGATGGGCTAGTGGGTATTTCCACCTTATTTCTTATACCAGTAATGTCCTTTAAAATCAGTGAACTAGTGCACACTTTGAGAGGAAGGAGAGATAATTGGGTAAACTGACATCCTACTGACTTCCAGGCACAGGGTAGAAACAATGCCATAATACACCTTATTCGACTAATGAAACGCATGATGATAAGTTGATGAATTGAATTAATTGTGTTAGTGCTGGGCTAGGTAGCATCTTAAACAGGTCTTGGCCTCAGTGCAGTAGGCCAGGATTTGGTAGCTGGTGCTTACTGTAAATATCTCCCTGCGGTATATTTGCCACTGGCTCACACTGTGCCTGTTGGAACACTCAGGAAGAGAAACAGATTAACAAACCAAAAAAAGGGGTAGAACAAAAATGTGCACCCAAGGACCAGGATTGGGGGAACACTGACTTTAACCAAGTGTTTTTCGCTGATGTCACTAACGATCCCCGATGCCCACACAGGAGCTGAGCACAGAGAAATCCAAGATGGCGACGGTCGAGACCCGTCTGCGCTCAGAGCTGAGTGCTCACACTCAGGAGATAACTGCCCTCCAGGCTCGCATGCAGGCCTCCTACCAGGACCACGTGGCTAAGACCCAGCAGCTCAACCTCAAGGTCAGAGTTCACGACCCCATAAACGTCAGGGTCATTTTCAGGAGGGGTGATTTAACGTACTGAACAGTCCAGACAGAAATGCCATGAATAGAGCTGACTTGAGTCCTGACTGAATGTGGAGCTGCTGCTTCCACCACTTTGACAGCAGCCTCTGAATTTGACAGTAATAACATATTGTGGCCCCAAGGTAACAATGTGTTGGACTTGTTTGTAAAAGTACAAGACAGACAAGATGAGAAAAATCAGCTGTTAACTGTCTGCACAAACATTTATGGAAATATTTGTTTTTGCTAACACCCCCATACAGATAGCGAGCCTGCAGGAGCAGCTGGACAATGGCCCAGTTGCTCAGCTGGCCCGCTTGCAGCAGGAGAACTCCATCCTGAGAGACGCCCTCAACCAGGCCACCAGCCAGGCCGAGAGCAGGTAGATGGGGAAATAAACAATACAACTCCTATTCTATGGAGAAATCTGAGTCTTGTTCAGTGGGAAAAAATTGAGTAAAATGGGGTGGAACTACCTAGACTTTTCCCAATAAGAAATATTCATTTTCTTTTGTTGAAACGTTCTGCTATGGTGTGCCCTAATGAACACAGCCCAGGTGTGGTCTACTCTTAAAATGCCCTTTTCTCAATTCGACTTTACTTGGGGGGGTGGGTAGTTTTAGTTTTACAATGTAATGTAATGAGGTACAAGTGGGTGTATTGGCTGGCTGGATGGATACATAATTAATTCTAGCTTGTACAGACATGGTCAAGTGACTCCAAAAATGACCATGATTTATGTAGCATTTTGAATATGTATCACTATTTGCTTATCATGCCATTTCATTTTATTGTCAATTATCACTAAGTATTAACATAATGCAAAAATAACACATGCCTAAAGAGCCTGAATTATGTCCATTCTTGGACACCAGCAACTGAGTTATACAGCTACTCCATATCCAAAACTGTCCTAGCCACACTCTACTCAAATTCATCAAGTCAAACAATCTTTCTGACAAGTCCCTCTCCGATCTCTTTCCCCCTCCAGGCAGAACGCGGAGCTGGCCAAGCTGAGGCAGGACTGTGTTCGTCTGAACCGGGACCTGGGCGAGAGGACGGAAGCCCTGCAGGCTGACAATGAGCACAGGAAGGTCCTGGAGGCCAAAGTGGCAGCTGCAGAGGAGCAACTTGCCCAGTTCCAGGTGAGCGGAGTAGGGTGAAGTTGCCCCCCCCAATCTCCACGGCATCCAAGTGACCTCTAACCTTTCATTTGATCCAACCACAATGGAGGACAACAATGGAGCAAGAGGTGTGGCCTTGCATTCCTCCTGTTTTATCTTATTTAGTTGGAAGGGGGGTGGGGAAGTATGGTAGCTTAGTGGGTAAGAGCGTTGTGCCAGTAACCGAAAGGTCGCTGGTTCTAATCCCCGAGCCGACTAGGTGAAAAATCTGTCGCTGTGCCCTTAAGCAAGGCACTTAACCCTAATTGCTCCTGTAAGTCGCTCTGGATAAGAGCGTCTGCTAAATGACTAAAATGTAAATGTAAATGTATGCGTTGTAGAGTGCAAAACAAGTTGAGAATGTCACAATTCGGCATCATGATTTGGGGCCCAAAATTAAAACCTTGGCTTTAGTCAATTCAGTTCTACTGCACCAGTGCACTGCTAGTCCAATAGTGCACTACATGAGAACATGGCTGTCAATTCATTTGGGACTAAGGTCAGTCAGTTTTTAATCTAGAACAGATGTGGACAACTGAGGCGTGTTCAGTAGGGAGTAAATTGAGTGAAATATGGAGGTAATACCTAAATGTGTTGCATAAGAACAGATATTTTTGTTTTCCATTCTCTGTTGAGTTTTGCTACAGTGTGCCTTACTAACTTTATTCATATATTTTCAAATCAAATCAAATTTTATTTGTCACATGCGCCAAATACAACAGGTGTAGACTTTACCGTGAAATGCTTACTTACAAGCCCTTAACCAACAATGCAGTTCAATTAATAGTTAAGAAAATATTTACTAAATAAACTCAAGTAAAAAATAAAATTACACAATAAAAGAACACTAACGAGGCTACAGTTGAAGTTGGAAGTTTACATACACCTTAGCCAAATACATTTCAACTCGGGTTTTCACAATTCCTGACATTTAATCCTAGTAAAAATTCCTTGTTTTAGGTCAGTTAGGATCACCACTTTATTTTAAGAATATGAAATGTCAGAATAATAGTAGAGAGAATGATTTTCAGCTTTTTATTTATTTCATCACATTCCCAGTGGGTCAGAAGTTTACATACACCCAATTAGTATTTGGTAGCATTGTCTTTAAATTGTTTAACTTTGGTCAAACATTTCGGGTAGCCTTCCACAAGCTTCCCACAATAAGTTGGGTGAATTTTGGCCCATTCCTCCTGACAGAGCTGGTGTAACTGAGTCAGGTTTGTAGGTCTCCTTGCTTGCACACGCTTTTTCAGTTCTGCCCACAAATGTTCTATAGGATTGAGGTCAGGGCCACTCCAATACCTTGCCTTTGTTGTCCTTAAGCCATTTTGACACAACTTTGGAAGTATGCTTGGGGTCATTGTCCATTTGGAAGACCCATTTGCGACCAAGCTTTAACTTCCTGACTGATGTCTTGAGATGTTGCTTCAATATATCCACATAATTTTCCTTCCTCATGATGCCATCTATTTTGTGAAGTGCACCAGTCCCTCCTGCAGCAAAGCACCCCCACAGCATGATGCTGCCACCCCCGTGCTTCACGGTTGGGATAGTGTTCTTCGGCTTGCAAGCAACCCCCTTTTTCCTCCAAACATAACGATGGTCATTATGGCCAAACAGTTCTATTTTTGTTTCATCAGACCAGAGGACGATCTTTGTCCCCATGTGCAGTTGCAAACCGTAGTCTGGCTTTTTTATGGCGGTTTTGGAGTAGTGGCTTCTTCCTTGCTGAGCGGCCTTTCAGGATATGTCGATATAGGACTCGTTTTACTGTGGATATAGATACTTTTGTACCTGTTTCCTCCAGCATCTTCACAAGGTCCTTTGCTGTTGTTCTGGGATTGATTTGCATTTTTCGCACCAAAGTACGTTCATCTCTAGGAGACAGAACGCGTCTCCTTGCTGAGCGGTATGACTGCTGCATGGTCCCATGGTGTTTATACTTGCGTACTATTGTTTGTACAGATGAACAATAGTACGCAAGTATAAACACCATGGGACCATGCAGCAGTCATACCGCTCAGCAAGGAGACGCGTTCTGGAAATTGCTCCCAAGGATGAACCAGACTTGTGGAGGTCTACAATTTTTTGTCTGAGGTCTTGGCTGGTTTCTTTTGATTTTCCCATGATGTCAAGCAACGAGGCACAGAGTTTGAAGGTAGGCCTTGAAATACATCCACAGGTACACCTCCAATTAACTAAAATGATGTCAATTAGCCTATCAGAAGTATTTGTAAATTTCTGACCCACTGGAATTGTGATATAGTGAATTATAAGTGAAATAATCTGTCTGTAAACAATTGTTGGAAAAATTACTTGTCATGCACAAAGTAGATGTCCTAACCGTTTGTTAACAAGGAATTTGTGGAGTGGTTGAAAAACGAGTTTGAATGACTCCAACCTAAGTGTATGTAAACTTCCGACTTCAACTGTATATACAGGGGTTACCGGTACCGAGTCAATGTGCGGGGGTACAGGTTAGTCGAGGTAATTTGTACATGTAGGTAGGGGTAAAGTGACTACATAGATAATTGACAGCGGGTAGCAGCGGGGTATACAGGTCCTGGATGGCAGGAAGCTTGGCCCCAGTGATGTACTGGGCCGTACACACCACACTCTGTAGCGCGTTATGGTCAGATGTTGAGCAGTTGCCATACCAGGCGGTGATGCAACTGGTAAGGATGCTCTCGATGGTGCAGCTGTATAACATTTTGAGGATCTGGGGACCCATGCCAAATCTTTTCAGTCTCCTGAGGGGGAAAAGGTGTTGTCGTGCCCTCTTCACGACTGTCTTGGTGTGTTTTGACCATGATAGTTTGTTGGTGATGTGGACACAAGGAACTTGAATCTCTCGACCCGCTCCACTACAGCCCTGTCGATGTTAATGGGGGTCTGATCGGCCCGCCTTTTCCTGTAATCCATGATCAGCTCCTTTGTCTTGCTCACATAGAGGGAGAGGTTGTTGTCCTGGCACCACACTGCCAGGTCTCTGACCTCCTCCCTATAGGCTGTCTCATCTTTGTCGGTGATCAGGCCTACCACTGTTGTGTCGTCAGAAAACGTAATGATAGTGTTGGAGTCGTGTTTGGCCACGCAGTCGTGGGTGAACAGCGAGTACAGGAGGGGACTAAGCACGCACCCCTGAAGGGCCCCAGTGTTGAGGATCAGCGTGGCAGATGTGTTGTTGCCTACCCTTACCACCTAGGGGTGGCCCGTCAGGAAGTCCAGAGCTGTGTTCTAATACCCATACTAACATACTGTATACTACATACTTAATGAGTATATACTACATACTATTAGTTCATTTTAGGATACTGTAAACAAACTATCATTTAGGTTGAGCATACTAGCGCTTTGCCTGTCTACCAGATGTCATATGTCATAACACTCATGACCCATATATTTACACCTGTTGTGACATATATTGCGTTATTTTAGGGCTGGTTATGACACCTAATTAAGTCTCTAAGTTTCTGCCAAGAAGTTTCCTTTCATTTGAAAGTTTGTTAAATACTTTGTAGTTGTAATGAATGCTTTAGTTTTTTTCATCATATTTTAAATAACTTGTAGAAAATACGCTATGACACTGTCATAAAATATTATGACCATCATACTCATATAGGCCTATCTGGCTTATATATCACGTACATGCCCTTATATCAGTCATCAGTCAAAAAGAGGGTGTCTTGTACTACTCCTGAAATCTACTCCTGCATTCATCCCAGTCATCAGCAACAGAGCATTGGGGTAGGTGCATGTCTGACATCAATGTGTGCCCAATTACAATGATAATTTTATGTATTTATTTTTATATATAACATAAACATACTGTTGACATTTACATTTACGTCATTTAGCAGACACTCTTATCCAGAGCGACTTACAAATTGGTGCATTTGGGGGGTGGGTAAGGGGGGGGGGTAGAAGGATTACTTTATCCTATCCCAGGTATTCCTTAAAGAGGTGGGGTTTCAAATGTCTCCGGAAGGTGGTGAGTGACTCCGCTGTCCTGGTGTCGTGAGGGAGCTTGTTCCACCATTGGGGTGCCAGAGCAGCGAACAGTTTTGACTGGGCTGAGCGGGAACTGTGCTTCCGCAGAGGTAGGGGAGCCAGCAGGCCAGAGGTGGATGAACGCAATGCCCTCGTTTGGGTGTAGGGACTGATCAGAGCCTGAAGGTATGGAGGTGCCGTTCCCCTCACAGCTCCGTAGGCAAGCACCATGGTCTTGTAGCAGATGCGAGCTTCAACTGGAAGCCAGTAGAGTGTGCGGAGGAGCGTGGTGACGTGAGAGAACTTGGGAAGGTTGAACACCAGACGGGCTGCGGCATTCTGGATGAGTTGTAGGGGTTTAATGGCACAGGCAGGGAGCCCAGCCAACAGCGAGTTGCAGTAATCCAGACGGGAGATGACAAGTGCCTGGATTAGGACCTGTGCCGCTTCCTGTGTAAGGCAGGGTCGTACTCTCCGAATGTTGTAGAGCATGAACCTACAGGATCGGGTCACCGCCTTGATGTTAGTGGAGAACGACAGGGTGTTGTCCAGGGTCACGCCAAGGCTCTTCGCACTCTGGGAGGAGGACACAACTGAGTTGTCAACCGTGATGGCGAGATCATGGAACGGGCAGTCCTTCCCCGGGAGGAAGAGCAGCTCCGTCTTGCCAATGTTCAGCTTGAGGTGGTGATCCGTCATCCATACTGATATGTCTGCCAGACATGCAGAGATGCGATTCGCCACCTGGTTATCAGAAGGGGGAAAGGAGAAGATTAGTTGTGTGTCGTCTGCGTAGCAATGATAGGAGAGGCCATGTGAGGATATAACAGAGCCAAGTGACTTGGTGTATAGCGAGAATAGGAGAGGGCCTAGAACTGAGCCCTGGGGGACACCAGTGGTGAGAGCACGTGGTGCGGAGACAGCTTCTCGCCACGCCACTTGGTAGGAGCGACCGGTCAGGTAGGACGCAATCCAAGAGTGAGCCGCGC